GATTTTGTATCTTATTTTCTAAGTAAAGTTAGTTTTAAAAAGGACTAATGTTTATTGTGTCAAATACAAAATCACAACAAATTTAAAGCACTCCATTAGATTTTTTTTTTTTTTTTTTTTTGAGATGGAATCTCGCTCTGTCGCCCAGGCTGGAGTGCAGTGGCGTGATCTCGGCTCCCTGTGACCTCTGCCTCCAGGTTCAAGCAATTCTCCTGCCTCAGGCTCCCAAGTAGATGGGATTACAGAAGCCCACCACCACACCCAGCTCATTTTTGTATTTTTAGTAGATACAGGATTTCACCATATTGATCAGGCTGGTCCCAAACTGCTGACCTCAGGTGATCGACCCTCCTTGGCCCTCCAAAGTACTGGGATTACAGATGAGTCACCAAGCCCAGCGTGGATTTTTTTTTTTTAATTATTATTATTTTTTCACCTGTGGTCTCAGCTACTCCAGAGGCTGAGTAGACAAAATGCAATAATCTCAAGACAATATTTTCTATTTAAACTTCCTTCTAAATGTATTTTCACATTTTTCTTTCTTTTGGAGACAGGGTCTCGTTCTGTCACCCAGGCTGGAGTGCAGTGGTGCAATTAGGGCTCACTGCAGCCTCAATCTCCTGGACTCAAGTGATCCTCCCACCTCAGCCTCCTGAATAGCTGGGACTCCAGGTGTATGCCACTTCGCTGGGCTCATTCTTGTAGGGACAGAGGCTGCCTTTTTTTTTTTTGAGACAGGGTTTCGCTCTTGTTACCCAGGCTGGAGTGCAATGGCGCGATCTCGGCTCACCCCAACCTCCACCTCCTGGGTTCAGGCAATTCTCCTGCCTCAGCCTCCTGAGTAGCTGGGATTACAGGCACACGCCACCATGCCCAGCTAATTTTTTGTATTTTTAGTAGAGACGGGGTTTTACCATGTGGACCAGGATGGTCTTGACCTCTTGACCTCGTGATCCACCCACCCCAGCCTCCCAAAGTGCTGGGATTACAGGCTTGAACCACAGTGCCCAGGATTTTTTTTTTTTTCAACTGGTTCTCTCTGTTTTGCCCATGCTGGAGTACAGCAGTTATTCACAGGCATGATCATAGCTCACTGAAGCCTTGATCTCCTTGCCTCAAGTGATCCTCCTGTCTCAGCTTCCCAAATTGCTGGGACCACAGGGGAGCACCACTGCATCTGGCCTGATTGGGCTTGTTTGTTTTTGTTTTTGTTTTTGAGACGGAGTCTTATTTTGCTGCCCAGGCTGGAGTGCAGTGGCATGATCTCAGCTCATTGCAACCACTCTTCCTGGGTTCAAGTGAGTCTCCTGCCTCAGCCTCCTGAGTGGCTGGGATTACAGATGCAAACCACCACGCCCAGCTAATATTTGTATTTTTAGTAAGATGGGGTTTCACCATGTTGGCCAGGCTGGTCTTGAACTCCTGACCTTGTGATCCACCTGCCTCGGCCTCCCAAACTGCCGAGATTACAGGCATGAGGCACTGCACCTGGCCTTGTTTGTTTTTTGAGACAGAGTTTTGCTCTGTTGCCCAGGCTGGAGTGCAGTGCCATGATCTTGGCTCACTGCAACCTCCTCCTCCCGGGTTCAAGCGATTCTTCTGCCTCAGCCTCCTGTGCAGCTGGGATTACAGGCACGTGCCACCACGCCCAGCTAATTTTTGTATTTTTAGCAGAAGTTGGGGTTTCTCCATGTTGGTCAGGTTGGTCTCGAACTCTTGACCTCAGGTGATCCACCCGTCTTGGCTTCCCAAAGTGCTGGGATTACAGGCATGAGCCACCGCACCCAGCCTCATCCACTAAATTCTCAAAGTGTCTCCTTATCATTGTCTCTATTAAAGATGCCCCACACAGATCACAAGGTCAGGAGTTCGAGACCAGGCTAGCCAATATGGTGAAACCCCATCCCTACTAAAAAATACAAAAATTGGCCAGGCGTGGTGGCTCACGCCTGGAATCCCAGCACTTTGGGAGGCCAAGGCGGGCAGATAATGAGGTCAAGAGATCAAGACCATCCTGGCCAACATGGTGAAACCCCGTTTCTACTAAAAATACAAAAAAATTAGCTGGGCATGGTAGCGCGTGCCTGTAGCCCCAGCTACTCGGGAGGCTGAGGCAGGAGAATTGCTTGAACCCAGGAGGCGGCAGTTACAGTGAACGGAGGTCGCGCTGCTGCACTCCAGCCTGGCGCCTGGTGACGGAATGAGACTCTATCTCAAAAAAAAAAAAAAAAAAAAAAAATTAGCCGGGTGCAATGGCACGTGCCTGTAGTCCCAGCTACTCAGCTGGCTGAGGCAGAAGAATCACTTGAACCCAGGAGGTGGAGACTGCAATGAGCCAGGATCATGCCAGGGCACTCCATCCTGGGCCATAAAACAAGACTCCATCTCAAAAAAAAAAAAAGAAAAAAAATATATACACCCGACAAATTTCCAGAATGCCCCTAGGGGGTGCCTGAGAGCCACTGCCCTAGGTGCCTCTCCTCAAACACCTAGGCCTCACTGCAGGTGGCCGCTAGGGGCATACTAGGTGGCCACAGTAGCATTCCTGTCCCCTAACTTGAAAAAGAGTTAGCTAAGGCCTGGTGCAGTGGCTCAAGCGTGTTACCCCATTTTTTTTTTTTTTTTTTTTCAGACAGAATTTCTCTCTGAAGCCCAGGTTGCAGTGCAATAGCACGATCTCAGCTCACTGCAACCTCTGCCTCCCAGATTCAAGTGATTCTTGTGCCTCAGCCTCCCAAGTAGCTGGGATTATAAACCCTTGCCACCATGCCTGGCTAATGTTTTTATTTTTAGTAAAGATGAGGTTTCACCATGTTGGCCAGGCTGGTCTCGAACTCTTGACCTCAGGTGATCCACTTGCCTCGGCCTCCCAAAGTGCTAGGATTACAGGCGTGAGCCACTGTGCCTGGCCAACCCCATCATTTTAAGAAGCTGAGGCGAGATCCCTTGAGGCCCGGAATTCAAGACCAGCCTGACCAACACTGGAAGACTCTGTCTTTACAAATTTTTTTTTTTGGTAGACATGGGGTTGCCCACGCTGGTCTCAAATTCCTTGACTCAAGCAATCTGCCCCTCTTGGCCTCCCAAAGTGCTGGGATTACAGGCATGAATCACCTCTCCACTACCCACATGCTTGAATCACCTCCTCCAACAGGCTACACTCTGTCCGTTTTGCCACTTCTGTCCCCTCTGCCTTGAACCCTTTCTTCTTCCCACGGTCTTGTAAAAAAACCTGTCTTGTACTAAAGCCTCAGCCTTACTGTCATCAGAACCATTTTCCTGACACCCCTGACTGGATGTTAGGCGCCCCTACTATGCACTCTCCAATTCACATGTTCAACAAATATTAATTGGATATCTACCATGTGCCTGTCACTGTTCTCAATTCTGGGATACAGCAAGAAATACGATGATAAAGGGGTTATGAAATTGTTGTTGTAGTGGGGGTCATAGAAAAAACAAAAAACAAACACACAAACAAAAACGGACTTCAGATGAGAGTTAAGAAGAAAAACAAAGTGGGCCAGGCACAGTGGCTCACGCCTGTAATTCCAGCACTTTGGGAGGCCAAGGTGACAGATTAGTTGAGGTCAGGAGTTCAAGAACAGCCTGGACAACATGGTGAAACCCCGTCTCTAGTAAAAATACAAATTTTTTTTTTTTTTTTTTAAAGACGGGGCTTCACCATGTTGGTCAGGCTGGTCTTGAACTGCCCACCTCAGGTGATCCGCCCGCCTTGGCCTCCAAAGTGCTTGGATTACAGGCATGACCAACCACGCCCGGCCAAAAATACAAAAATTAGCTAGGCCTAGTGGCCTATATTCCCTGCTACTCAGGAGGCTGAGGCAGAATTGCTTGAACTTGGAAGACAGGGGTTGCAGTGGGCCAAGATCACACCACTGCAGTCCAGACTTGGTGACTAGGTGACAGAGCAAGACTCCATCTCACAAAAAAAAAAGAAAGAAAGAAAGAAGGAAAACAAAGAAATAGTGAAAGCATAGAGAGTGTCGGAGCAGCGTGAGTGAGATGGATAGTGGGAAAACGTGACCTTGGAGAAGGAAGTTAGAGGCCAGATCGTGTAGGGTCTTGGTGGCCACAGTAAGGAATCTGAATTTTGTTCTAAGACAGAAATTCACTGTAGAGTTTGGTTCAGGGGAAATGACAGTATCAGGTGTGTATTTTTATTATTTTATTTATTTATTTTTGAGACAGTCTTGCTCTGTCGCCCAGGCTGGAGTGCAGTGGCACACATCACCAAGCCCAACTAATTTTTGTATTTTTAGTAGAGACAGTGTTTTACCATGTTGGCCAGGCTGGTTTTGAACTCCTGACCTCAAGTGATCCACTCACCTCAGCCTCCCAAAGTGCTGGGGGATTACAGGCTCGAGCCACCATGCCCAGCCCAGATGTATATTTTTAAAAGATCACTTTGGCTGCTGAGTAGAAATCAGACTGTAGGAGGCAAGTGTAGAGGTAGACTAGCATTCAGTTACAATCCCTTCTTTCAGCAGCCCCACTCTTCCCCACAGCTTAGCCTAGCTAAGGCTTATTCTTTCAGAATTCAGCCCAGATGTCACTTTTAAGAACCTCACCCCTTGGCCGGGCATGGTGGTTCACGCTTGTAATCCCAGCACTTCGGGAGGCCCAGACAGGTGGATCACAAGGTCAGGAGTTCAAGACCAGACTGGCTAACATGGTGAAATCGTGTCCCTACTAAAAAATACAAAAAATTAGCTGAGGATGGTGGCTCGTGCCTGTAATCCTAGCTACTTGGGAGGCTGAGGTAGGAGAATTGCTTGAACCGTGACCTGGGGAGGGGAGTGGAGGTTGCAGTGAGCCGAGATCGCGCCACCGCACTCCAGCCTGGGCTACAGAGTGAGACTCCATCTCAAAAAAAAAAAAAAAAAAAGAACCTCGACCCATGCTGCCCCAACCCCACACCTCCTGTAACACAAACTCATAGCCTGCTCATCTTTGTCTCTTTCTCCCCTGTTTTTCAGACAGTGTCTCTATCCTCCAGGCTGGTCTCAAACTCCTGGGCTCAAGCGATCCTCCCGCCTCAGCCTCCCGAGTAGCTCCTTTGTCACCCTTATCACTGTTGTGATGAATTGTACAAATGGCTTATTGGCAGTTTTATTTATTTTCCTTTGATGGCTCAGCTCATCAAAGGAAGTGGCCGGCCAATCGTCAGCGGGCAGGGTAGGGACCAGTCCGTCCTGGCTCCCATCTGCAGCCCCAGTGCGCATCCCGACTCTGGAGCTAGCTCCGGGAACGTTTGTCACATGTCTGAAGAATGCATGAATTATATAACCTTCTCTCCACTCAACCCCTCAAAAAGCAAGTGGATCCAAGTACTTGAAGACTTTTTTTTTTTTAGACGGAGTTTCACTCTTGTTGCCCAGGCTGGAGTGCAATGGGGTGATCTCGGCTCACCGCAATATCCGCCTCCCGGGTTCAAGCAATTCTACCTCTGCCTCCGTAGTAGCTGGGGATTACAGGCATGCGCCACCGCGCCCGGTTAATTTTTTGTATTTTTAGCAGAGATGGGGTTTCTCCATGTTTTTGGCTAGGCTGGTCTCGAACTCCCTACCTCGGGTGATCCGCCCGCTTCAGCCTCCCAAAGTGCTGGAATTAAGGCGTGAGCCACAGCGCCCGGCCGAACTTGAAGATTTTATAATCTCTTCTTCGTTAGTAAAATTTTAATATCCTTGCCAGTAAAAATAATAATGATGGTGAAAAACGTTAAGTTCGAACGCAGGTAGGGCACAGCTAAAATCCAAAGGGCGAAATATTTACAACGTCTACCGTCGGGGAAGAGAAACAGCAGCCCCAATCGGCGGCAAAAAGAAATCCCTCCGCAGCCTGCAAAGGCGCGTGGGCGGGACTGGAGCCTGAGGCCCAGGGCAGTAAGTGCAGAAGCCAGGACCAGCCTCAGCCGTGAGAAAAGCAGCCCGGGGGAGGCGGGGCGGGGCCTCACTCCGAAGGGAACGGCCACTCGTTTAGAGGCGGGACACAGAGGCCCTCCACAAGTCTCATTGGTCTAATTGGAGACGGACAACTCTCGCTGACCAGTCATAGCCAAGATGGGGCGCAAGCGTATTTGGAAACGGAGAAAGCGCCGAACACCGGAACCACGCATGCGTCTCAGCGTTTTCGCGCCAGCACAGCCTTAGTGGATGGGGGCAATTGAATTCCCACAGTGAGTCCAGCCCACCGAAACTCAGCAGGATTCCTAAACTTCCACTTTAAAGAGCCTCGGGTTTAGGGAACGTCCTGTGCCCAGAGCCTGCCCCGTGGGAATCCCAACATCCATCGCCTCTTACATAATGTTTCGTCCTGGCCGCGCCTCAGCCCTTCCTGATGCTGGGTTGTTATGATGGTGAATTATTGACGAAGTCTTGCAGCCTGACGCCATCTCTGGGCACTGCTCCTTCCTCCTCCCTGGCTTCCTTGGAGGGTACCACGTTGCCCCTACAAGCATAGGGTCCTAAAGCTGTTTACAAGTCCCCACTCTGCCACTTTCATATCTTAACGAGTGTTGGTTGAGGACCTACTGTTAGACTCAGCGGAATGCGCAAGTTCCTGATCTTGGGACCTTACATTCTATGGGACAACACAAACGTAAACAAAAAATAATTGTAGATAGTGATACATGCTCAAAACATGGCTATGTGACCAGGCGCAGTGACTCACACCTGTAATTCCAGCACTTTGGGAGGCCGAGGCAGGCGGATCACTTGAGGTAAGGAATTCGAGACCAGCCTGCCCAACATGGTGAAACCCCATGTCTACTAAAAATACAAAACTTAGCCTGGTGGACATGGTGGCAGGCACCTGTACGCCTAGCTACTTGGAAGGCTGAGGCAGGAGAATCGCTTGAACCCGGAGGGTGGAAGGTTGCAGTGATCCCAGATGCACCACTGCATTCCAGCCTGGGTGAGAGAGCAAGACTCTGTCTCAACAACAACAACAACAACAAAAAACATGGCTATGTGATAGACTAAAACGGGTATTGGGTGCTCACTGAAATGGTGAGAATGGAGCTAAAACCTGAAATTAGGTGACAGCAGCAGCTATAGGGGCTAAGGGTTTCGTGCTTGGAAAACAGCAGATGCAAACGTGCTTGTGCTGTGAGACAATTTGGGTGGAACAGAAGGTGTGCCATAGTCCCTGAGAGCTTGGAGGTGATTCTAAACACAATGGGAAGCCATTAAATTGAGGCAGAGCCTTGACATGCTTTATCATCATGTTACTGAGTGGAGAATGGATTGTTGGGGAAAGTGAAAGATTGATTGAGAGGTTGTGGAGAGAAGGTGGCTGGAACTGGGTAGCTGGCGAGATGGTGGGACGTGGATGAATTCAGGATAGGATTGGTTGTGTTGGATATGGGAAAAGAAGTCGCAATGATGCCTAAGCTTTTGGAATGTGCAAATGATAATGGAGGTGCCATTAATTGAGATGGAAACAGTGGAAAAATAACAGGTTCTGGGGTGGGAATCGAGAGTTCAGTTGTGGCCACGTTGAATCTGAGATGCCCATTAGACTTCCAAGCAGAAATGCTGAGTTGGATGGTGCTCATGAGAGGTCAAGGCTGGAGTTAGACATTAACACAGGGACCTTAGTAGTAGGGCCACCTACAGAAAAGTCGAGGTAAGAAAGAGGGCTTAGGTCAGGGTCCTGGGCCCCTCCACTCCTACCCAGTTCAGCAGGATAAAGTAGAAGAGCCAATTTTTCCTGTTTCAAAGGGAAGCATTCAAGAAGGTGCATTGGCCGGGCGCGGTGGCTCACGCCTATAATCCCAGCACTTTGGGAGGCCGAGGGAGGTGGATCATGAGGTCAAGAGATCGAGACCATCCTGGTCAACAAGGTGAAACCCCATCTCTACTAAAAATACAAAAATTAGCTGGGCATGGTGGTGTGCGCCTGTAGTCCCAGATATTTGGGAGGCTGAAGCAGGAGAATTGCTTGAACCCAGAAGGCGGAGGTTGCAGTGAGCTGAGATCGTGCCATTGTACTCCAGCCTGGGTAACAAGAGCAAAACTCCGTCTCAAAAAAACAAAAAAAACAAGAAGGTGCTGATTATGAGATCATTGCTGTCTCTAGATCAAGTGAGATGCAGGAAGAGAAATGATCACTGGGTCTGACACCACTTTGGTCACTGAAAAATTTTTTTTTTTTGAGACAAAGTCTAGCTCTGTCGCCAAGGCTGGAGTGCAGTGGCGTGATCTCGGCTTACTGCAACCTTGACCTCCTGGGTTCAAGCAATTCTCTGCCTCAGCCTCCCGAGTAGCTGGGATTATAGGTGCCCGCCACCATGACCACCTAATTTTTGTAGTTTTAGTAGAGGCAAGTTTCACCATCTTGGCCAGCCTGGTCTTTTTTTTTTTTTTTTTTTGAGATGGAGTTTCGTTCTTGTGGCAGTGCAGTCTCAGCTCACTACAGCCTCTGCCTCCTGAGTTCAAGCAATTCTGCCTCAGCCTCCCAGTAGCTGGGATTACAGGCCACTGCCACCACACCCAGCTAATTTTTGTATTTTTAGTAGAGACACGGTTTTGTTATGTTGGCCGGGCTGGTCTCAAACTCTCAGCTGATCTGTCCATCCACCTCGGCCTCACAGAGTGCTGGGATTACAGGCATGAGCCAGTGTCCTTGAACTCCTGACTTTGAGATCCACCTGCCTTGGCCTCCCAAAGTGGTGGGATTACAGGTGTGAGCCATGGCGCCCAGCTGTCACTGAAAATTTTGTTTAGAGCAATGGCTGGGGAAAGAGTCTGATGGGGGTGGGTGAGGAGAGAATGTTTAAGATTCTCTCATTAAGGATGTTTAAGAGTAGAGAGAATAAAGAGAAAACCTATTGCTAAGAAAAGGAGCAGTGGTTGGAAAGACTATCTTAACAGTTTCTTTGTTCTTTTTTTTCTTGAGAGAGAGTCTTGCTCTGTAGCCCAGGCTGGAGTGCAGTAGCATGATCTTGACTCACTGCAACCTCCGCCTGGTGGGTTCAAGTGATTCTCCTGCCTCAGCCTCCTGAATAGCTGGGACTACAGGCGTGCGCCACCACGCCTGGCTAATTTTTTGTAGTTTTAATGGAGATGGGGTTTCACCAGATTAGCCAGGCTGGTCTCAAACTCCTGACCTCGTGATCCACCCGCCTCGGCCTCCCAAAGTGCTGGGATTACAGGCTTGAGCCACTGCACCCGGCTTGTCTTTTTTGAGACATGGTCTTGCTCTGTTGCCCAGGCTGTAGTGCAATGGCTCAATCAGAGCACACTGAAGCCTCGACTTCCCAAGCTCAAGTGATCCTCTCATCTCAGCCTCCTGAGTAGCTGGGACTACAGGCATGTGCCACCATGCCTGGCTAATTTTTTTTTTTTTTGTATAGACAGGGTCTCACTGTGTTGCCAAGGCTGGTCTTGAATTCCCAGACTCAAATGATCCTCTTGCCTCGGCCTCCCAAAGTGCTGGGATTATAGGCGTGAGCCACTATACCCAGACCTGAAAGAGTTTTCTTAAATATGAGAGACACTAGAACAAATGTCATTGGTAATAAAGAATGATCCAGAAAAGAAGGGGAAAATGGAACTTTATTGAAGGCTTAATAGTGTTAAGAGCTTTACAAACATTCTACCTTCACAATGTTTAATGGATCAGGCAGTCGGGGTTACTATAGCTTTCCCGAGGTCATGCAGCTAGAGGTGGCAGAGCTGAGCGGCCACCTAGATTTTTCAGACTCTTTGTGCCTGCCTTACCACCCCATTGCATAGGCACACATCTGTCCCTACTTAAACACCTGGGCCATGCCTTTGCCCTGACCATAGTTCTCGTGCTGGGGGGACAGGCATTTGTTTTCCTCCCCCAGGGCTATAAGAGGGGGCATCTCCCCCACAGCCTGAATACCCATGCAGCAAGGGACAGAAGCTCTCCCAGTCCACAGCAGCAGAGGCAAGCAGCAGGAGACCCCAGAGGTAGGAGGGAAAGGGAAACTTTGGGGAGTATACAGCAGGTTTCTTTTTGCGCCAGCCAGAGCAAGAGGATGCTGGGGGCTTCTGGTCCCAACCAGCTGGTGCCTGTGGCCCTAGCATTCATCTGGATGTGTTCAGTGTGACAGGAAGCCCAGGTCAGAGCCCAGTCTCCCGGCTGCCCCCATTGAGGCTGAGGCTGTGGGGGCGGGTACCACGTTCCAGCCTTCGGCCAGACAGGAGACGCCTCAGGGAAGAGCCAGAGCTCAGATCTCCGCAGCTGCGAAGGTGAAGGCTCTCTCGTCCAGGCCGGCTGCACGGGCTCCGGGGCACCTGGACAGGGACACAAGACAGGGCATCATCAGTAAGGCCCAACCTGAAGCTCCACGCTTTCCCAGACATCTTTCCTGCCTCCTGGAATTTCTACCTGCTTATGTCCATGAGCTCCAGTCCCACTGGGGTCTGGGGCTTTCCTGGACATCTGGAGAAAACGAGTGAGCAGGCCCCGACCTGGCCAGCTGCCCTTCAGGTCCCCCAGGGAGTGGGCGGGTGCAGGGCCCCAGGGCAGGGGAACTTTTTGGAAGGTGGGCACAGGGCGCCGTTTCTCGGCTGAGCGGGCACGTAGCAGCTTGGGGGAAGGGCAGCGGGCTAGGCGGAAGAGGCAGGCTTCAGAGCAGAGCCCTACAGAGACACAGAGATGAGAATGGTATTGGTGGGTGGAGAGAGGGCAGGGCAGCCATGCCCAATCCCTACCCCTGGGGTGCAAACCGCATGCCTGACCTGTATCTGCAGAGGAAACAGAAGCAGCTTCTTCCTCAAGCACTTTGGTATAAAGGTCCCTGAATTCAGCTGGGGAGAAGACAGAAAGGAAGACAGGGAGTTAGTGGGAGTGCTCTGTGGCCACGCCCACCCTCCTGTGTGAACTCAAGCCCAGAGGAGCTTTTCCAGCTCCCATGCTCCATTCCCAATCAAAGGGCCAGTGTCTCTGTTCACGTTAGCAAGCAACTAGATGGTATAATCCACCAAGACAGGGACTGCAGTGGTGTTGTTCAGCACCTGGTGTGCAGTGCTGAGCGTTCCCCAGTACTACTGTTTTTTTTTTTGAGACAGTCTCACTCTGTTGCCCAGGCTGGAATGCAGTCATGTGATCTCGGCTCACTGACCTCCACCTCGCAGGTTCAAGCAATTCTCCCGCCTCAGCCTCCCTAGTAGTTGGGATTAGAGGTGTGCACCACCACAACCGGCTAGCTTTTGAATTTTTAGTAAAGACAGGGTTTTACCATGTTGGCCAGGCTGGTCTGGAACTCCTGACCTCAGATGATCCATTGGCCTCAGTCTCCCAAAGTGCTGGGATTACAGGTGTGCACACCCAGCCGCTATCTCCTTTCTCAGCATCTTTGAATACAACCCCTGTGGCTGAAATACTATTTTTATGCTTTTTTTTTTTTTTTGAGATGGAGTCTGTCTCTGTTGCCCAGGCTGGAGCACAGTGGCAGGATCTTGGCTCACTGCAACCTCCACCTTCCAAGTTCAAGCGAGTCTCCTGCCTTAGCCTCTCTTAGTAGCTGGGATTACAGGTGTGTGCCACCATACCCAGCTAACTTTTGTATTTTTAGTAGAGATGGGGTTTTACCACGTTAGCCAAGCTGGTCTCAAACTCCTGACCTCAGGTGATCCACCCACCCCCGTCTCCCACAGTGCTGGGATTACAGGTGTGAGCCACCTCACCCAGCCTGAAGTACTATTATTATACATGTTTTATAAGTGGGGACTGAAGCTTAGGGAGGACAGGTAAGTGGCCCACGCTGAGGACTCCGGAACTGTTTTCAAAAAACAAATCCTTTTGGGAGACTGAGGTGGGTGGATCACTTGAGATCAGGAGTTCAAGACTAGCCTGGCCAACATGGTAAAACCCTATCTCTAATAAAAAATACACAAATTAGCCGGGCATAGTCCCAGCTCCTTGGGAGGCTGAGGCAGGAGAATCACTTGAACCAGGAAACAGAGGTTGCAGTGAGCCAAGATTGTGCCACTGCACTCCAGCCTGGGCGACAGAGACAGCCTCACCTCCATCTAAAAAAAGAAAAAAAAAATCCTCTTTTAGCTACTAAGCTATGAATGTTCTGTCCCTAGAAGGTGAATACCCAAGAAATGTCTACCAGAGGAGTGAACTCACGCTTTCCTCCTCCTCAGGGACCTCAACAGTGCCCCAATCCTGTTAGGCATCACTGGCTACCTAACTCCCAGTGCCTACCCTCTCCTGAGCCTGGGCAGTGGCGGAGGGGCTTACC